TCTCTCTGTGTGTGTGTGTGTGTGTGTGTGTGTGTTTTGAGGTAGGGTCTCAAGTAGCTCAAGCTAGCTTCAAGCTTTTCCTATAGCCAAGTAAGACCTTGAACTTCTGATCACCCCACCCCCACCTCCTAAGTGTCACCACACCTGGCTGCGAATACGCCTTTTAATTGTTATTGTTGGTGGTGGTTAATGGCATCATGGAACAAAGTGTTTACACAGAACCACCACCAATTACGGTGATTAGATGTTCTGGACTGGCTAGTGACTCAGCCAGATGAGAGAAAAGGACGGTGGCTTCAGTCGCTGCTGTGAGAACACTTCCACACTTGCACAGACACCTAGGCACCCTGAGAATTTCATACATCCTCGTTAGCTTTTCCCGGATCGCTACCCACTAGTTTTTGACATTTTAATATTTCTACTAAAAATTGCTGTATTTAATTCTTGCTTCAAAGAGTTCCTTTGAAGCGCTCGCATAGACAGCCTGTGGCTGTGACATTTCTTTTGAACGGTAGCTTACCCATTGCTCATCGTCAGTTATTTTCTTTTGTTATTGTGTGCGGTATGAATGTGGGCGTGCACAGGCTTCAGTGCGCTTGCGGCGGTCAGAGGACAGGTTTATGGAGCTGGTTCTCTCCTCCCACCCTTATGTGGTCTCTGAGGATCAAGCTCTGCTTTCAGGTTTGTGCCCTGAGCTGTCTCAATGGTCCCATGCTCTTCAGAATTTTTCAGTGTTTTTTTTTCTCTTTCCTTGTGCTATTTTGTATTTATTTCGTCTTCAATCTTGTATTATGTTTCTCCCATAGCACACTTGACTTTTCACTGCTGCTTTGAAAATGCTTAAGTAGCTGAATGCCCAAGTGTACAAATTTGTTTTCTTCTGAAAACATCTAAAACTGTCAATCTGAAAAGCCAGTGTCCAGACTTTACTAGCTTCAAAAGTCACGGTTTTAGGAACTGGATGTTTTCTTTTTAAATGGACAATAAACAATGCCTGAAGTGCGCTGCTTTATCGTGAGCTGCCGTCTGACCTTGGCTTCAGTTCGTTAATTACCAGCTACAGTTTTTATAGGCTCATCAGATGCTGGCACATTCCTTCCCTGGAGGACCACATGAAGATCTGTCGGATGAGTCGGCAGGACACATGCCTGTACCCTCTGCTGCTACATTCCCTTGTCTCAAGCCCAGTGGAGCCCGGCCTCTTTGGAGCAGACACGCGCATTCCCACACGCTACAGCTTTCCCTTGGAGACGTTCACCTTGAAGACCACAATTCATGCTCATCTTGATCAGATTCTATCTCAAGAAGAGAGGGATGTAAGCAACCCATGGAAATCCACTAGCCTGGCCATCTCTCCAACCCCCTACCTTACCAACAGTCCTACATTTATGAATATATTACGTATATAAAAGTATATGTTATACACCTATATGCAGATGCTAAATGCAGCTGGAGTAGAAAGCACCCACAAGGAATCGGTTAGAAGGGCAACAGTATTTCTCTGGGTGCTAGTGAGTGCCACTATAGTTCACGAACTCATCTTCCCCTGAACAAAAACTGTCATAGCAAGTGGCCTTGGACTCATACATGCTATTATGTGGACTTCCCTGAGAGGTCAGGACCCCACAAAGAAAGATTTCATAGGATTTGATCACAGGACCTTCTGAGTTCACTGCTCGCTCATACATGCTAATTACACAAGCCCGCCCAGGGCCAGCTGCACTCGTGGAGGGCTCTGAGCGTTTGCACGGTGAGTCAACAGATTAATGTCCTGAGGCTGGTGAAAACTCCAGCTCCAGCGGCTGCTTGGCAGGATGGCCTCTACGGCTGATGATCTCAAGCGTCTTGCCTGGGAAAACAAAAGGTATCAAGAAGGCATCAAAACTTTCCAAAAGTTACAGGGGCCACGAGAACTGCTATTGAACCTCATAGTAATTTACCTTGAAGAGTGAGGGTGAAATCAGTCTGATTTCTGAACTTGGCCTATGACTCAGCAAACTACCAGGGAACTAGATCAAAGAAACCTGGCTTCATTCTGCAGGTGGAAACAGGGGCTTCGTGCCAAGTACCCAGATGGGTCACAACTGCAGCAAAAGGGTTTATGTCAAGAGCTGGACTAGAGCCCAGTGTGGCTTTTCTAGGAAATGACTATTAGAGTCAGTGACTTCTTAGCATTGGACATAGAAACCAGTGACAAAGCCAAGCTCTGTCCAGTGTGGTGAAACAATATTTTCATACACCATGAAGATGTGTTGATCCTATTGGTTTAATAAAGAACTGACTGGCCAATAGCTAGGCAGGAAGAGGTTAGGCAAGAGACCCAGACTGAGAGAATGCTGGGAAGAAGAAAGGTGAAATTGCCAGACAGATGGAGACGGAGCAGCACGGACTTTACAAAGTCAAGGTAATCCATGTAAAAGTAGATATAAATATATGGGTTAATTGAAGTTGTAAGAGCTAGTTAGCAACAAGCCTAAGCTATTAGCCAAGGATTTATAATTAATAATAAGTGTTAGGAATTTTTCCTAATGTGCGCTCTCTGCCAATGCAAAAATCCCAATCAAGCAAATCACAACAAGCCAAATTTGAAAATATCCAAGTTTAATGGGATTCCTGCACTCTCGGGGGAACCAGGGAGGCCACAAATGCGACCACCAGGGGAGAGGAAAGAGACCACATGTTTCTACTTTGGGAACTCACAAAAAAACCCTGTGGGAGTGGTCCTGACCCTCCTAGAGGGAAGCCTGGCATGCTGGAATTTGGAGTCCAGACCAAAGCAACTCCCAGGTCAGGGAGGCTGGGACAGATGCTAGGGGCTGGGGACTATGCCCCCAACTTAACAATAAGTTTCTGCGTGGTTATTTGGGAGCTACTGGTGGGAAAAATATCCCGCCTACAGTCCAGAACATTGTTTTTAATAAGTTAAGACTTATTTATTTCCCATCCTTCCCACCTACCTCACTTCCTCTTCTCTCCACTTGAAGACCCTCTCCCTACATGTCTCCTTCCACTAGCTCTGAGGAGCAAAGAGAATTTTCCAGATTTCTAAAGGTTCTCTAAGAGTGACTGCTAAAATTCTCCATTTAAAAATATCTTTATTTTTATTATTTTTAATTATGTGTAGGTGTGTGTGTGTCTGTATGTGGGCGTGCATGCGAGTGCAATTGCCTGCAGAGACCAGTGGTGTCTGATCCTCCTGAGCTGGAGTTATGAATGATTGTGAGTCACCTGATATGGGCACTAGGCGCTGAACTCTGGTCCTGTGAAAATGTAACATATATGCCTAATGACTGAACCATCCCTCTAGCCCCTAGGGCTTCCATTTTTATGTCTACAGGACGTCATACATCAAGTGATGTATGACATGGAGGTTTTCCAACTATTGATTCTCAAGCTTCCACCCAACTTTATTCTATATGGTGCATAGTCTACAAAGTCATTTCTTGGGCTGTTTTTAAGGTAGCATTTCAACTACACTTGTAGAGAATTTTTTTTTATCCATTCTCTCTATCTATTCAATACCACTGAATTGGTTATCTGCCTTGGAAATTGAAAAACAGGAGATGGGAGTTGAAAATATTGATTCTTAGGCTTTAAAAATGGACAAATTTAGCAAAACCCTTGTTCTTCTAGAATTAGGCCTGGAAATAACCACACACTGCTCTCTCGGATAGCTTTTTCTGTATACTAAACTGCCTTCCAAAGCTTGTGGTGTAGAACGACAGCTATTTTTGTGGCAGACGACTGTGTGGATCAGCAATTAGGATGGGACAGCCTCAGCTGTGGGGCTGCTGGGTCGGGAACTGTGGTGCCTTCTGCCTGACTGGTGCGTGGTTACTCTTCATGGCCTGTGTGCTGTCCGGCAGATGACTTAGGCTCCTCCACGTCACGTCTGCATAGGGACTCTGGAGAAAGAGTCACTCCAAGGCCAAACCTGAAACTGGCATCGCACCAATCTGCACATTCTATTGAGCAATGCACGGGGTTCTTGATGGGAATCTATCTGAGTCAGATCCCCAAAGACGCAGAGATGGGAAGTCAGTTGTTTTTAAAATCTGCCACACGTCTAATGAAGAGCGGGTACCAACACATGACTATCACATATCCCTCACTTGAAACAATAGTACGTCGTCATGAAACAATAGTATGTCGTCATACCTTTTAGCATTGCTGCCACACGCACAGCAGACACTGAAATAACTTTCAGTTTAGCCCGCTGTCCTAGGTCTGTATAATAAATGGATATCTTCCTTAGACACGATAGTGTTCATGTGGCTGTAGTCTGTGCAGATCTGTATTGTAGACTATAGGTTCTCTGGGTAGACTGAAGTAGACATTACAAAGGACATTCATTAGGGTTCATCCCTGAGGTCGACTCCTGTGGAAGAGACAGAGGAGGAGCTGAGTGACCCTGCAAGTCCGTGGCCTCAGTGGACCCTGAGGGAGCTCTGAGGTATCAAAAGCTTGTCAGTGCAGTTAGAGATTGGGCAGTGTGACTAAGCCTTCATACCGAACCCTTTCATTAGCGTGCACTAGATGTAGGCCTCCTGTGGGGAGAACAAAACCTAGAGTCCAGAAGTACTCAGCTATAGATGGAGGTTTGGACAGCAGTGCCAAGGCCACAGGGCCTTCCTTCAAGAGCCATCAAACGCTAAAGGGGTTATGGGAAGATTCTGGTTACAAACAACTGACTGTCTGTAGGAAACGCTGCGTGACACAGAGTGCCATTTATTGACTCTGTTGCTTTCCTCAGAGGGTTTCAAATAGCTTTGTGAAGGGTTTGACTCATAGCCCTATTCCCTTCAGTTAGATCTGAAAAATCAGTAATGTGCTCACTGAGGAATTAATTCATTTCTCATGCAAATCTGCTTCCATGCTGTTTCTGGCTGTAGCGTTTCCTTCCACAGGAGAATACATTTCTGCCATTCTGGCCAACAATCCTCCTCATTGGTGCTGGGATCATTGGAATGTGCTGCCCTGCCTGGCTTTGAAAACATATCTTAACGTAGACTTCTGTTTGAAAAAGCGAAGATGGCAGAACACGGATCAATTCTCCAAGATCTGCATTGTAAACACAGTTGCAGCTGTTCCTGGGATTGCCCACGAACAGACGCTTGGCACAAAGGTGAGGAAATGCTTCCGTGAGAGAGGATCGCTTACGTGAGAGAGGGAAGTTCAGCACCTGAGCTCAGGAGTCAGGGCAGGGCAGTGAGGCGCCCAGGAGGTGTGGGCCTGTGCCAATCCTCCAGTGGCTGCCAGCAGCGACAGACTGACAGCGCTGACGACGTACACGGCGAAGGGGGCACAGTATCTAAACATAAGAACATTTAACATCGTTGATGAAATCTCAGCAGGTTCTGTAATAAAGTTGACCTTTGTCCACCCCAGAACAAGACTTCATTAGAGTTTGGTTTGTTCTTGCTGGCCCTCTGGTCACATAGTCTGCCCCAGTAAGGTAAATTGCTAAATGGGCTTACGTGTGTGCCTAACACTGCTACAAGGAAGGCTCTCTATTTGTGGTGGTTTTCTTTGTCAATGTACCCCTTGGTTTGGTAATTCTTACCTGGTTGTGTGATAAGGAATTGGTGCATTTTGATTAATCATGAGTTTTATTGAGACATGATCATCAGGTTACTGACTTTCAGGGAACTGGAACTCCGTGGACTGTATTGATAACCATGGTATTAGAACTAGTTTGCCCTTTGGTGGTTTAGAAGCTCTCTGAGATCTCCCATGACTTTTTTGCTTTTCACCTCAAAGTTTCAAGACTTGGGCAACTGTGCCTGGCACATGCCTGGGTGTTGTGTGTATGTGGTCTAGTGTCTGAGTCTGGACTTTGCTACTGTTTTCTGGGGAAAGAAAATGCCTAGATCTCTTGAGGTTTGCGTCTTCTCCTTCCTTGGACTCAAGTCATGGGGATTGCCCTTTGGGCTAACTTCAGATATATGCCATCCTCGAGACATGCAAAGACTGAGCTGTAGTAGAATTCCACAAGAGCAAGCATCTGCTAATCTCAGACCCTCTTACCATTTCTCTGGGCCTACAATAGAAGCCTTGGGCTGGACTGTGGTCTGCCCGCATTTCAGTCTGATTAGTCTGAAGTTTCTCCTGGACTTCTCAAGAGATGTGCCAAATGCTTTAACTGAGCAGTTCATGGCTGTATACAAGCACGACCCATGTGTTCTAATGTCCTTTGTATTCAAGTATTTTGTTGGTGTCTTATTCCTCTTTAAAAGTAGGTACCACACTACTTGGTGACAACTGACTTTGATACAGTGAAGAGTCTTCCACCTCACACAAGTAAATCCCAGTGTCCCACGTGCTCAGTTGGCCACCAGAATGTCAAATCAGCGTCTGTGTTATCCAGGCACCAAAGCTCTTCAGAGAATGTAGTCAGATTAGGGTAATGGGCATATCTATCGCCTCCCACATAGCTCAGTTCTCAGGGTAGAGTTCATGTTCAAATGTTTTACCTTCCTAAACAATTGCTAAATAAAGGTAACAAAATATCTTCTATGAGCAATCCTTAAATTCGTTTTTTTTGTTTGTTTGTTTGTTTGTTTTGATTTTTCGAGACAGGGTTTCTCTGTAGCTTTTGGTTCCTGTCCTGGAACTAGCTCTTGTAGACCAGGCTGGCCTCAAACTCACAGAGATCTGCCTGCCTCTGCCTCCTGAGTGCTGGGATTAAAGGCGTGCGCCACCACAGCCCGGCCCTTAAATTAGTTTTTTGAGGAAAGGAAAATACAACGATTTTCCAATTTGCTATCATTGTTTGACATTTCCAAAGGTTCCTATCAAAAGATTCATGTTGCAACTGAAAACCATGGGCTCTTGGAACAAAGGCCTCTCCTGCCCTGTACTGGATGAATCCATGGTGAACAATAATCAACCAAGCTGTCCCTCCAGGATCACAGACCCACGCTAGACACCAAAGCCCCTCACTTTCTTTCCTGACAGGCAGGATTAACTTCCTGGCTGCCAATTTACCTGAAGCCACAGCTTAAATGGTTTGCATGGATCATGTCGTTGTATTTTCCCAAACACCAACTGGGCTCTAATTCTTCTGTGCTACAGATACAGAGGAAAGATAAGCTTTCCCCAAGTTCCATAGCTAGTCAGTGGGCAAACCCGTGTGGCACAACCCTCAAACCTGAACTCTAAACACAGTGTTGTTCTGCTGCTCTGAAGAAGCACACTCTGTCTAGAAGGGTCATGTGTGGATGCGGTGCTTCTCTGGCACGTGCTAGTGATGTGTTTGAATATTGTAGGAGGAGAGAATTAGTGAAAACTTGGCTGCCAAGTTGGGCAGATCAACATTAAGCAACTATAAGGGTCACACCTATGCTACAGTCTCTAGAAAGGGCACCCTGTCTAGCTGTGCAGTGCATAACACACCCTGGCCTCTGCCCCACCCTGACAAACAGGAAGGATGATGGACTTTGTGTAAATGTTTCTTTAACATAAGAGAAATCACCTGCTAATGATCCCTATAAAGTTAGGAATGCAGATTACAGAAACAACACGGAGGAGAACAGATGTACATTTGGAAGGTTAGCCAATTGGCCTGGCAGTGGTGGCGGCACACACCTTTAATTCCAGCACTCAGTAGGCAAAGGCTGGCACATCTAAGTGAATTCAAGGCCAGCCTGGTCTACAGACTGAGTTCCAGGACAGTCAGAGCTACAAAGAGAAACCCTGTCTCCAAAAAAATAAAAAGTGGGAAAAAAACAAAAGAAAGAAAGGAAAGAAAAAGAAAGGTTGACAAATTCATTTTCACCTGTAAGCAACAATTCACCAGGCTGGACTTGATCACGTCACCGTGAGAGAGATGGAGTCAGAGCTCTAACCTGGCTTTCCATGTGCATTCCCGTTGTCCTCGGGTTTCGTGACCCACATCATAGCTTTAGCACAGTCAGGGTTTATGGGATTTAACACCTATTCAGAATGAACATTCCCACAGTTGCTTAGTGTCAATCCCACAGATAAACAGATCCCCAGGTCTTGTGCCTTCACCACTTTTTAATCCATGGAAATTTCTAAATTAGCACACATAGCAGATACTTACAGCTTTGTGATTTTGTTAGGGTATCCAGGTGAAATGGATTCCGAGAGCTTGAACTCGGTAAGTATAGGATGTACGCATTTGAAAGTCCCATATATATTGGCACACTGGCCTTTAAAAGGGCTGGATTAATTTATTCACTAACCAACAGCTCATGAGAATATCTTTAATTTTTGTGCCCTCACCAACTCTGGTTATTATGACCATTTTTGCATTTTTTGGTTGTTTTGTTTTTATTTGAAGAGTTGAAAAGAGTACTCTTGGGCTCAGTGAATAAAGGAACTTGCTGACAAGATGGGACGTCAAAGATTGATCTCCAGAAGCCACATGGTGGAAGGAAAGAACTGATTTTAGTAGCGTGTCCTTTGACCTCCACATGCATACACGCGCACGCACACACACTAAATAAATAAATAAATAAAGTGTAAAAAAGAAAGAACGAGAATAGTTTTATCCAGAATTCCAGCCAGAGATAATGACTAATGATTTTTATGTATTTGGATACTATCCAAGCATGAACGAAACACACATATTTTTAGCATAAAGAGCACATACAATACAAACTTTTTCCATCTTGGCAAAGTGGTGGCTCTCAAATTTTGGGAATGTTGCCGGTCTAGAAGGATGCCAGTGCTCTCCAGATACTATCTGTTTAGTTTTAATGCACACGTTTTATTATGGGTAACAAGTGATAACCCTTGCCACATCTTTTCCACTGAACTCTTTACGTCTTCTACGTATGTGCCAATTAGCTTTTCAGCGACTATCTCTTTTCAGTTGGTAAAACATATTTACTTAGTGATTAGATTTGCCTCGACCATCTGCTTTGATACTGCTAGTTTCTGTTTGTCATTTGTCTTTGGTCTTTCTTTGAAGTGTTTTTGAACACAAAGACTGCTTGTTTGCAACTCTTACACAGACAGATGTGCCAGCAGCTCCCAGCTCTACATCCTGTGGCTTCCTTAGAAAGGTCTGTATTCCAGGATTGAAATTAAAAATCACTTCATATTTTCTCTGAGCAGTTTTCATGGTTTTATTATTACAGTTAAATCCCAGACTCACCTGCTACTTGTTTTGAGATCAGGCATCTGTCTTTTTCCCTGTTACAAGTGTCAGCCTCTGATGTATTGAATGAGCATCATTACCATACCACCTAGTCATGATCTTTTAAAAAAAAATAACGGGATTTTCTGGAGGAAGATTCCACGGACCCACACAGACCATGCAGGTACACCGCTGTGGCCACCTCTCGGCCCCTATGGTGCCTTCTGTCTACTTCTGTAAACCCATGTGTTAAAATTCATTTCAGATGATTTAGATAATGCACTGAGCCTGGGAGAAGTGCTGGCCTCCGAGCCCCTTTCTCCTTGCGTCCACTCCCTACCTAGACACATGTGGTGGGGGCCCAGTGTCTGCAAGTACTAAAAACTCAAACGTCCCCATCATGGTTGTGCTGCTGAAGTCACGTCAGCAATCTGACCCCTAATGGACAGACCACCCAGAGAGACCCACGCAGAGGGACAGAGAGACGCAGTCTCGTTCCTGCACAAAGACAGTCACCAACACAGCCGCAGCAGGATTGCTCGACTTGGGGACCTTCGGTTGTCACAATAGTCATATTCAAACGTCTCCCCCTTTTTCCAATTAAAGCTTTCTAGCTAGCATTTCACTCAAGATCACACAAGAACAGGTTATATATGTGTTTGTTTGTTTTCCTACACCATGGCTGGCTCTAGCCACTCCTTCCTTTCTGTCTTTACCTGGAAATGTTTGTTGTTTTCCAGATGACCTTTGATTAATGCTTACTTTCTCACAGCCACATTTATCTATGAATTTATTTAATTCTTTTAATACAATGTATTTTGATTATACTCTTTCCCCTTTCCCAACTCCTTCTAGATCTTCCCCCACCACTCTACTTACCCCTCTTCATGGTTTTTTAATCTCTATCCCTCTCAGAAAAAAACATAGAAAAACAACAAAAAACAGCATAATTAAAATCCAAACAAAAATTCATGAGAATCAGTAAGATAAAAAAAAATACTAAAACAAAACAAAAATCA